GACCCTCCAAGTAGGTTTTAGGGCTCAGGGCTGTGGCCTAAAGATGTGCAGCTGGCGACTTCAGCCCGTTCTGCTTTGAGCAGCTCCTTTGACCACTAGCATGGAGTCGAACCCTGATGCCATAATGAAAGTGCTTAGTATCTGGTAGCGGGCCGCCTAAACCCTAAACCCTAAACTTGTCAAAATCAGGGTTCTTTTAGAATTTGAAGCTTGGGGTTTAGGATTTGAAAGGTTGCCAAAAATCATGGTCCCTTCTTGGGTCCTCGTGATAATACGGCCCCTTGATATTTAGGGTACCCCAAAAAATGCCTGCAGTTTTGCAAGCCTACCATATACTCACCAGTAATTATAACCCTTCATCGTCACTTTAACCCTCTACCTCATAAACCCTAAACCCTTACACCCAAAACCCCGAGTCGACCAGAAAACGCATTCTCAAGGCCCAAATAACCTCAATTCAACGACTCGTGGTTTAGGGCTTAGGGGTTCAAGGGCCTAGGGGTTTGGGTTTTGAGGTGCTTGGTTTTAGAGATTTTTCAGTACGGTTTCATGATGGGCTTGCCCGTTTGCCATGCAAACTTCGACTAGATTCAATACAAATCCTAAAGCAAGTACTTCTCACAGCTGCGCCCTTTTGCTTCTAGCGATTTCAAGCTTTCAGCGGGCGAAGCAGCCGCACATCCAGAGTGCCTGGCACAAAGCACAGATAGGTGCTGAACCAAAAACCCTTTAAACCCTAACGTTTAAATCCCTGAAGCCTAAACCCATAAACCCAACCCGTTAATCCCTAGACCCTTAAACTCTAAACCCTAAAACCCTTAGGGTTCATGACCATGCGGAGACCATCTGATAAGGCTGTCTTGAAATTTTCGGCACATCCTTGTTGGGCCCCCAGAAAATGACTAAAAAAAATCTGCAAGCCATTCTAGAATCAAGGTTTTCACCCCATTGTCCAGTTTCTTGCCCATCTGATTTTCCATTCCTGGGGTAGGATCCCTAAACGACAGCCCTGACATGTGGAAAAGCCCAGTGTTCAGGGTGTAGGGTTTAGGGCTTCAGGATCCGCACCCGACAAGACATTCCTTCGCAGATCACGGTACGTGCGCACAAACCGACCCGTGCAGCTAAGCACACATGTTCGTTCCTACATTTCCTACATGCCAGGACAAGAAATGGCTCCTGCACGAATATCCTCGAAGTAAACACCTTACCTGTGCGCTCAATTTCAAACAGACCATGAGCGCTCGCTGCAGATGCGCCCCGGAGAGTCCTAGCGCAGCACCTCCTTGCAAGTCTTCAGAAGACCGGGGTGGGTTGGCAAGCGGTGGCGGCCACTGCTCTTGCAGGCCGGGTCAGCTTTTTCAACCTGGCTCGAGGAGTAGTACTTGAAGAGGTCCTGACCCTGCTCGGCTCTCAGCTGGCCTTCGGGTCTGAGGCCTGGCTCCTCCAAGCGGACTTCGGACGTGTTCGCCAGCCAAAGTAGAAGCCTGACAACTGCTCCGCCTTGTCCTCCAGGGCAACCTGCTCCTCTGTCAGGGCTAGTTTTTTCCACCAGGCCGACCCTTGTGGCTTCCCTGGCAGAAGCGTCTCCAGCTCGCTTTAAGAAGGCAACGTCAAAGAAGACGGTACGGGTGCGGCTTTCCAGCGTGTCAACACTGATCGGGCTTTGAAACCTGAACTTCACAATTCCGACCTCTTTCCTGATGCGCTTGGCTGCGAGGAAGTGTTTCTTCAGCTCGTCCTTCTCAGGGGTGCTTGTGACGCTGTTCACAGCGTCCGCGACCTTCTCAAAGGTCTGCTGTGGAAACGCGGTTTAGGGTTTAAGGGTCTAGGGTTTAGGGCTTAGAGGTTTAGGGTCTAAGGGTCTAGGGTTTAGGGCTCAGGGATTCAGGTTTAGGATTGAGGGCAATCGAGACCCTATTCTAATCAATCTCCTCCCACTACTATAAACAATTCCCCCACCCTACTAAGATGGATTATTCCCTATATGTACATATATGTATATACTTATATTACAGTATACCACAATGGGAAACGAATACAGTGTTGCGCATACCGCGAGTTGAACATTAGGAGCGTGGGGGGCTTGAATACTCGGGCCTCTGCACTAGGTCTTTCCAACCCTAAACCTTAAACCCTAAACCCTACACCCTAAACACTTCCAAACCCCTAAACCCTAAACCCTTTAGAATAGGGTTTGGGGTGTAGGGGAAGAAGGGCTTAAGCATGGCTTGCCTAGAAGAGTCTGAGACGACTTCTGGGCGAACGGGGGATGGTTTGGCTTTATGATTAGGGTTTAGGGTCCAGGGTTTGGGATTTAGGGTTTAGGGTTGGGGATTTAGGGTTTAGGGTTTGGGGTTTGGGGTGGGGGATTCAACGTTGAGGGTTGGGGATTTAGGTTTAGGGTTTAAGGTTTGGGATTTAGCGTTTAGGGTCTAAGGTTTAAGGTTTAGGGTTTGGGATTTGAGGTTTAGTATTTAGGGTTTGGAAGTTTCCAAGCACGTAGTTACCAGGCGGGTACCCTGACATAAGGCTCATCTAAGGCTTATATTGGGGAAAGAGAGCACCCGAAACTTCCTGAGAAGTTTGGGCCGTCTAAGAAGCCGCTGAACCCTGTGCCCTAAGGCAGCCTCAACCAGGATCCTAAATGCAAAAACCCTAAATCCCATACCCTACCCTAAACCCAAAGCCCTCAACCCTAACGCAAAACTCTCTAAACCTCAAGCCCTATGGCCTAAACACCAAAACCTTAACCTAAACTCCAAACCTTGAAGCCTAAATCCAGGCTCCGAACCCTGAACCCTCAATCCAAATCCAGACCACAAGCCCTATGCCTGACAACCCGATAATAATAATCACACAAGTTCAAGGGGTTTTCAGGTCGTACCCTTGGGGTTTAACCCGTGTACTGGATTCTCGGATGCTTCTAAGAAACGTCATGCAACGCTTTTGTATGAGGGCTATGTGGGGTTGTATTGGGGGAACCCTCCTAAGGGTACGGCCTTGGGGGCTACAACCTTGGAAGCGTTGACGATACAACCCAATCCTAAACCCAAACGCCAAGCCCCAACCTCACATCGAAAGAACTACACCATAACCCCTGAGTCCCAAACCCTAAACCTTAGATCCTGAACCCTGAACCTTAATTAAACCCTACACCCTAAAGCTCAGAACCTAAACCCTAAGCCGTAATTAAGCCCCAAACCCTAAACCCTAAACCTTAAACCTCAGACCTCAAACCTTAAACACTAAACCTTAAACACTGAGCCCTAAATCTTGAATCCTAAACCTTAAACCTTAAACGCTAAACCCTAAGCCCTAAACCCTCCGCCTCCTGGACCATGTAGCTCCTGGGCTCGGAAGATTCTTCTTAGAGGCGGGTGCTCGAAGGCAATACTGAGAGCACACCAGCAATATCCTCTTTTAAAGAGATAAACGGAGCTCGTGGATGAGGAATGGAAAATCATATAAGCTACAGCCAATAATTTAGGGTTTAGGGTTTAGGGTCTACCCAATTTAATGGACATGGGTTCCTTATTAGGGACTATATTAGGGACTCTACTAAACTACAAGAGGGGCCCCTATGTCCACTGTTAAGGGCCCCTTCATTAATAAGGCTGATATTGCCCGTCGCTCATATTCAAGAAGTAACCCCTTTTAGGGTTTAGGGGTTAGGGGTTTAGGGTCTAGGGTTTAAGGATTAATACAGGGGCCTAAATAATTGCGAATATCATTTTGAGGTCCTTTTGAGGTACTTCAGACCATAATTATATAAGAAATACGGAACAGTAATATTGGCAACTATTAAAGCCCTATAGTATGAGCGTTCGCCGAAACTCCTTGAATAACCCGATGGCATAGACAAGTTGGCTGATCCTATCGCTTTCACCCAAACACAGTCGTGGTTACGTCTTAGATTGGAGTATCGCTTTTGGGGGGGGTCCTATCGCTTTTGGAGCTGTTTGCGCGATTCCTACGTCTCACGACATTCCTTCTGTTCGTGCCGAATAGGCGAGCATTGTCCATTGCTCATATACTACTCTAAGGGTCCAAGGACTCCAATACTAGGGTTTTAGGGCCCAAATACCATTAATACTGTAGTGTTTGGGCCCTAAAGCCCTATTATTTGGGTCCTTGGACCCTTAGGGCTAATAGAAAGCACCACTCCCTCAACCACTAGTACTGAACATGTCCTTTAGAACATTCTCTCACGGGAAATGTTTGATATTCGAGGGGCGGGGGGGGTTGTGTGCTCAACATTACTATGAGGAGGCTAAGAAGATTCAAACAGCTCTCTGGGTCTAACCCTTTCCCCAAAAATCTTAGAATTTGAACCAAAAACTTTCCGGTATCATTGTGGAGCCCCATGGGGACGGATTGGTTGACTGCTTTACTGAACCTGATTGCTGGCAAAGGTTTCTGATTGTAAGTCATTAGACCTACTGGAGCTTCAGTTGATGTTTGGCTCTAGGTATATGAGACCATCCTCGAAAAGACCCAGATAAGACAAGCAATGATAGACAATATAGCCGAAACCATACAAGTATGGATCTTAGG